AAAATATAGTTAAGTGAGGACAAATAAAATTAAGTGCTCTCTTTTCTTTTTTTAAAATATTTTTTCTCCCCCCAACCAAACTTAAATTTTTTTAAAAGATTTACATGAAGAACTTTAAAAATAAAAGGGTGAAAGAAAGCATTAAATACATAAAGAAAATTCATACATGTTGAATATTCTGATTTTTACAAATAAATTCTAAAATACTGTAGGTGCTAATATAAAAAAATACAATGCTTAAAATATTAAATTGCATAGAATATATACAAAATTTGCTGACAAAGAGTTAATTACAATACATATAACAAAGTATTGAAACTAACCATAGAACAAAACTAAATTCTAAAAATGAAAACAGTTTTACACATTATAATTTCACATTACAACATAACAACAGAGTCTCAACAATATAATACAATCACAAAGTATAACACAAACAAATAAACAAATAAAAAGATCACTAGTCATCATCTTCTTCATCCTCAACATCTAACTTCTGTTGCTAATATGGAGTATAAACAGGGTGAATAGGGAATTGAACTGTATGATCACCCCTCAGGTATTTCACTAAAACATCATCATAAGCAGCATCATATTCAAACTTCTGGCAAATCAGATCATCTGTATGAGCATTTCTGGCCTCCATGTTCTGCATCCTATGATCCATCCTCAAAATATCTCCCAGCTGAATCATCATCTGGTCCAATAACTCCCTGTTACTGGGGTCACTTGAAGTAGGCTCACTAGAAGTAGGGGTTCTAGAAGTAGAAGGAATATCCCTGGCCTTACTTCCAGATCTCCAATCAACATGAGACTCATAATTCTTAATGTTTGCAGGTCTAATCGGTCTTTGAGGCTCAATCCTCTCCTCATCAGGTCTGAAATGAACTCCTGCATGCTCACAAAGTGTATAAATGAGAGCAAGATTTGCCAATCCACCAGTGGTCTCTCCCTCCACTCTTTACTTTCCAAGCCCCTTTCTCACCAGTCAGAAAAGAAATAACCTCATCTAAGGCCTCATTTGTAGTACAAAATGAATGATATTGGCATTTATAAACATCTTGTAATTGATAAAACCCATTTATTTTTCTTGGAGTAAACTCCACCATTTTTCCTCGAACAAAAACTTCTTAACTATCTGTTACCTTAAAGTTGGCATAGAACTCCATCACTTTACCAATAATAGCCTCGGCAGTAAAGTAATAAAAATTCTCCCACTATTGAGCAACGATTAATCTTTCGATTTCTCCACCAAGATTTTTAAATGCTTAATCCAGAATTACTTTCTTAGTTGCAAGCAGACTATTGCAACAATTGTTAGTCTTGTAGTTGGTGAAAATAAAAAAAATTTACTTTAAAGTGTAGCTCTTACCTAGAGAAAATGAAATCCAAAGTTCCTTTGCCTCTAAATTGCCTCAAATCCACCCAAAATCAAGCCCTCAGTGTGAAAATCGAAGGTTGAAGGTGACTTTAGGTGTAAAAATGGAGGTTTTGTGGTAAAAATTGTGAATTAAAGGGGTTATTACTGCTCTCGG